TTTTCTTGCTATAGTTGTTAAGTGAATCACAGCAGAAAGACCTATTTAGCTAGGACCTTTGTATAATAACCTTGTTTGGCTAATGGTGGTTAGTGTTTCTATAATGGCTTAATATTTGGTTTGCATCCGGTGCTGTGCATTGGGTGATCCCAGAAATGGATTATTGCATTCGTTCATTCATTCATTCATTCATTCATTCATTCATTCATTCATTCATTCGTTCGTTCATTCTTTCATTTTTTCATTTGTTCGTTCATTCATTCATTTGTTCACTCATTCATTCATCCGTTCATTCATTTATTCATTCATTCATTCACTCACCTAATTTACTAACTACAGATAATCCTCAACTTACAACCACAGTTGAATCCAAAATTTCTGTGGCTTAATGAGACATCTGTTAAGCGAATTTTGCCCTATTTTACGACCTTCCTTGCCATAGTGGTTAAGTGAGTCACTGCAGTTGTTAAGTTAAAAACATGGTTGTTAAGTGAATCTGGCTTCCCCCCCCCCCCATGTTTGTCAGAAGGTCGCAAATGGGGATGACGTGACCCTGGGACACAGCAACCGTCCTAAGTACATGCCAGTTGCCAAGCATAAACAGGGGTGCCGTTTATGTGTGAAAAACAGTCCTAAGTCACTTTTTTCAGTGCTGTTGTAACTTTGAACGGTCACTAAACGAATTCTCAAGGAACCTCTAGGAGACTGCAGATCCCCTGTCTGATTCATCTCTGGTTGGTTTCTGTTGTGACACTGCACAACCTTGCAGCTCCACAACCTTACAGCTCGTCTTTGGGAATCTTGAGGGATGATGTCAACCTCCCAAAGACTCCTTGGAATTGCCAACTCATCCTGATTTTATCTCCCACAGTCAGGAATTGCCCCAGGCTAGAAAAAAAACAAACCATTATTTCCAGCAGCAGGATGCTGATTTTAGCACTGGATTGCCAATACTTTGATAAATGCATCCTTTTCTTCCGCTTTGAAAAATTATCAACCAGCATCTTACTCATTATCTACTCATTGCTTTAGGAGATGAGACTGAAGAAAAAAAAAAGATTTATCCATTTTAAGGTGTGTCCATCTTTACAGATGTTCCATTTTATTTATTTATTTCTACTTATTTAACGTTAACACAAACCTTCGGTTCAACAATGGGCCCAGCGCTGTGCAAAAGCTAAAATAAAATCATCATTATCATCATCAAAATAAAACCGTTTTTTTTTTAAAAATCTTGTTCTTTATCTTGGTACGGGTAGTCCTCGACATAACAGCCAAAATTTCTGTTGCTAAACCAGACAGTTGTTAAGTGTGTTTTGCCCCATTTTACGATATTACTTGCCGCAGTTGTTAAGTGAATCACTGCAGTGGTTAAGTTAGCAACACGGTTGTTAAGTGAATCTGGCTTCCCCTACTGACTTTGCTTGTCAGAAGATCGCAAAAAGGGGATCACGTGACCTCGGGACGCTGCGACCGTCATAAGTACGAGTCAGTTGCTAAGCGCCTGAATTTGGATCATGGGGATTCTGCAAAGGTCGTAAGTGTGACTGTTGTGACTTATGTCGCTAAACCAATGGTTGTAACTTGAAGACTAGCTGAACTGGAGATTGGGCTTGCTCATGGGAGTTTTGTGGTTGTGACTTGGACAAATTTTAGGACTGTAAAATAATAATAATAAAAAAACTTTTCAAAAAAAGGTTTTGGGGAATGTTCCCATACTGTTGCTTAAAAAGCTAGGTGACATTGCAGTCACCAGGAAGTGACTTGGCTCAGAATTGGGGGGGGGGGGTAGAACAGAAATGGCTAGATAGTCTCCCGTTCCCTTCCCCCCCCCGGATCCCTCCCTGCCTCATTAAAGGATCTAGGAAATAAAGTTCTTAGAATTGTGATCTCTTTCAGAATCAGATCTGCGGGGTCCTTGGTCCGAGCTTGGTGGTTTCCTTGCAGACGTTTCATGACCCAACTAGTGAACATCATCAATGTTGGAAGGGGATGGGATGGGATGGGATGGGATGGGAGGAGGAGGAGGAGGAGGAGGAGGAGGAGGAGGAGGAGGAGGAGGTGGGGGGACTGTAGGGTCCCTGGTGCTCTCTGAGCTTGGTTTATTTCTTGCAGACATTTGTTATCTAGTTGGGTTATGAAACATCTGCAAGAAAACCACCCCGCTCAGAGAGCACCAAGGATCCTCACAGGTGTCTTTCTTCTTCTTCTTCTTCTTCTTCTTTCTTCTTCTTCTTCTTCTTCTTCTTCTTCTTCTTCTTCTTCTTCTTCTTCTTCTTCTTCTTCTTCTTCTTCTTCTTCTTCTTCTTCTTCTTCTTCTTCTTCTTCTTCTTCTTCTTCTCCTTCTCCTTCTCCTTCTCCTTCTCCTTCTCCTTCTCCTTCTCCTTCTCCTTCTCCTTCTCCTTCTCCTTCTCCTTCTCCTNCTCCTCCTCCTCCTCCTCCTCTCCATACATTCCACTGATGATGTTCCCTAGCTGGGTCATGAAACGTCTGCAAGCTCAGAGAGCATCAAAAACCCCACAGTTGAACCAGGAGCTACAAATAAAGCTTTCAAGCTAAATTTTTCAGCCTAAAACAAGAAAGAGCATCTTTTCGAGTTGAGAGATCAAAAGAACGATGGACATAGAGCCAATTTTATGGAGGATAAGGTTTTATTTCAAGACCAGCAGCCTGTTCCATATCCAGGCCAAAGGAGGGGGGGGGGAAATCCACAAGTTCACAGACTCTCTGTGCTGTGTCAATTGCGGATATTTCAACCCCTTATTCTCACTTCTCAGTTCTTCCTTCTGGAAGGAATATTCTACATAACCTTTTTGTTCAGTTTTATCGTTACTCCACGTGGATGGAAACGTGGCCCTGTTTTCTCTTGCTTGTTGGGAGGGAAAATTGATAATGCATTTCCTTTTTGGAGACGAATAATTGTCATCAGATAAAAACACCGCTAATCCTCGGCTTAAACCAACAATTGAGCACAACAATTCTGTCGCTAAGCGAGGCCTTTGATAAAGTGAGTTTTGCCCCATTTTACGGCCTTTCTGAGCGAATCCCTGCACTAGCAACAGGGTCGTTAAATGAATCTACAGTTCCCCCTTATCCGAAGGTCGCAAAAAGGGATAACACGACGACCCTAGGACACCGCGACCGTCATAAATAAAAAAGCGTGACTAATTTAATAACGGCAGGGATTCACGTAACAATCAAACGGGGCCAAACCTCCTTAACAAATGTCTCACTTAGCAATGTAGGCTTTGGGGCTCAACAGTGGTCGTAGGTTGAGGACTGCCTGTAGTGTGGTAGAGAAAAGTTAGGCTAAGAGTCTGTGCAGAAAAATGGAAGACACAGCAGGTCGACACCACTTAATTGACTTCAGAGAACTGGAAGTTTTGTGTCTCTGTGTGTGTGTGTGTGTGTGTTTTATTTGTCACATCCGTTTTACAAACAGTTTTATTTGATTAAGGCTCCCGACTGACTGATATTGTTGGGAGCTGTCCTAACAGCTTTCTCCGCTTCCTCGTCAACCTCTGATTCACCTTTTTCGAACGAAGGAAAGGTGGCTTACAAATTCAACATTTTGCGTTACGAAATATAGCCCTTGTTTTCTTACACGGTTCGTTTCTTTCGAGATTTTGGCTATCCTGGAATTTTGCATCTCTGGGATGCACAGGATGCCCTTTGTGATTTTCAAGACACCAAACCTTAAAACATGTAATTTTTTAATCCCTTTATTGTTTTGATAAATAAGTCAAGGTAGCGGACATGCCTAATATCCCTGGAGTAAAAAAATATTTTTTGCCCAATGAAACATAAATTCAACCTTGATGTCTAAATGGATGGTCAAACTCAACTCTGCATCTAACATGTTATGTCCAGGCAAATATTTTGGTTTAAAGCAGGGGTCTTCAAACTTGGCCCTTTTATATGACTTGTAGACTTCCAACTCCCAGAATTCCTCAGCCAGGCATGTGTGCCTGGCTGAGGAATTCTGGGAGTTGAAGTCCACAAGTCATAAAAGGGCCAAGTTTGAAGACCCCTGCTTTAAAGCATTGGTCCATCCAACATTGAAAGACAAGAATTGAATATTCCCAACACACGATGTCATAAATGACTACACCCTCTTCTCAGCCTCATCTAATGTGCTAGTGGTCCACTTACAAAGAGGCCATGTCAAGTCCAAAGTTAGTTATCAGGACCCTGTATCTCTGAAGGAAGTCCTTGTCTATAAGGATGGACAGGAGACCCCCCCACTAAGTTCTCAACCACGTTGGTTATCCCAAATGTGCTTTTTTCAAAAGGCAATTGGACTTTCTTGTTTTTGTTCTGAAGATGTTTCGCTTCTCATCCAAGAAGCTTCTTCAGCTCTGACTGGAGGGTGGGGAATGGAAGAATTTATACTCCTTGCAGACAGCTGATCATTTGCATTCTTTTGGAGAGTCATTAAGACCACCTGGAGGCTTATCTGTGTCATCAGGGTCACCTGAGTGGTGCAAATGGGTGTGGAGCCTTCTTGGAACTGATTGTGTTGTAGACTGAAGATAGATGATGTCATATTCCTCTCTCAATAGAGGGGGAGAGATACGACATCATCTATATCCAGTCCGCAACACGGTCATTTCAGCAGTTCCAAGAAGGTTCTACACCCATTTGCACCACTCAGGGGACCCTGAGGACACAAATCAATCTCCAAGTGGCCTCAACAACTCTCTAAAAGAAGGCAAGTGACCAGTTGTCTGCAAGGAGTATAAATCCTTCCATTTCCCCACCATCCAGTCAGAGCTGAAGAAGCTTCTTGGATGAGAAGCAAAATGTCTTCAAAAGAAAAAACAAGAAAGTCCAGTTGCCTCCTGAAAAAAAAGCACCTTTGGGACAACGACAACCTGGAGGACGGAGAATCTCCACAGAAAACCATCTTGGTTCTTCTTGTGGAGGCCTCGAGCTGAGGCAGATGGAGACTTCTTTTGAGGAACTGACTTTTGATTCTGCCCTTTTCTTTTCTTTTGTAGGTCCTTAGCCATCGGTCATCAGTACTCCTCGCTGGGAACTCAGCCCATCCTCTGTGGCAGCATTCCTGGCCTGGTGCCCAAGCAACTTCGTTTCTGCCGGAACTATGTGCAGATCATGCCCAGCGTGGCCGAAGGAGTCAAGATTGGGATTCAGGAGTGCCAGCATCAGTTTCGTGGGAGGAGGTGGAACTGTACCACCGTCAATGACAGTTTGGCCATCTTTGGACCGGTGTTAGATAAAGGTGAGTGTCCAGTTTTGGAGTTAGGTCATCAACCTTTGAAAAGAAGGAGGGATGGGTACAAGAAGGATCTCGGGGTGAGTAGGAAAACGGGTCTTTGTAGAAGATGAAGGATCATCATCTGCAGGGAAGATCATGGTAGAACATCTGTGTTCTTCTTTGGTTCCTGTTGTCATGCAAATTCATGGAAGGTTTGGGGTGAAGTTGTATGAACTTCTGGAGTGTTCATCAGCATTCTTGTATAATCTGTGAGGTTTCTGGCAAAGGGTGAATCTGGTGAGATCAACAGAGGTCACCTTAGGCACTTCAGGAAAATGGAATTAAGATCTGTGGTCTGGTGAAACCAACAGAGGCCACCTTAGATATTTCAGGCAAATGGAATTAAGAGCTATGGTGTGGTGAAATCAAACAAAGCCTCGTCTATCTTCTCCTTTTCTTTCCTCCTCCTCCTCCTCCTCCTCCTCCTCATCTATATTCTCACTCATTCCTCCTCCTCCTTCTATCGTTTCCTGTTCCTTCTCCTCCTCGTCTATCCTCTCCTTCTCCTATTCCTTTTCCTTCCCCTTCCCCATCTCCTCATCCATGTCTACCCTTTCCCTCTCCTTCTCCCCCTTGTCTATCTTCTTCTCCTCCTCATCTTCGTCTATCTTTCCCTCCCCTTCCCCCTCCTTGTCTATCTTCCCTCCTCCTCCTCATCTACCATTCTTCTCCTTTTGTCTATCTTCTCCTTGTTGTCTGTCTTTTTCCTCCTCCTCCTCCTCCTCCTCCTCCTCCATCTCTACCCTTTCCTTCTCTTTCTCCTCCTCTTCCTCTCCCTGCAAACCCCACTTCCTTCTAGCACTGATGATATTATCCAGTTGGGTCATGAAACATCTTCAAGAAAAGCAACACGTTCAGAGAGCACCAAGGACCCCACAGTCCTCCTCGTCCTCCTCCTCCTCATCATCTTCATCTTCCTCCTCGTCTATCATTCTCATCTATCTTCTTCTTCTCCATCTTCTCCTTCTCCTCCTCTCCTTCCTTTCCTCTCTTCCATCTCTACCTTTTCCTTCTCTTCTCATCTACCTCCTCCTTCTCCTCCTGCTCCTCCTCCTTCATGTCAACGATTCTCCTCCTCGTCTATCTTCTCTTTTCCTTCCTATCTATCTCCTCCTCCTCCTCCTCCTCTTCTCCCACTTCCCCTCCTCCACGTCTACCCTTCCCTTCTCTTCCTCCTCATCTACCTTCTCCTTCTCCTCCTCTTTTCTCCAAAGTAATCAGCCAAATTGTGTGGCGAAGAGAGGCCTGCTCAGGGGGTGGGGGGTGATACTATTTCATAACTGAAGAATGTTGTCCCTGGAGGCAGAATACAGCCCCCACCACCCCTGTTGGTCTCCCTAACCTACAGCAGCAGCCGGCTGGATTGTAGTTGTGGGGCGGGAGGTGAACAAGGATTAAACATCTCAGCCACATTCTTTAGGGTGCCCTGAGGGAGAAAAAACATATTTCTGCTCAGAAGGAAAAGGCTGGGTTTCAGTACTGCCAGCCTTCTTTCCCAACTCCCTCATGTCCCATCAACCATGTTCGAAAATGAACCAAGTAGAGTGTCATCCTCGCGCACCCAGGTCCCACACAATCCCAACGCACAACCCAAACCAAAGAGAAATTCCTTTCGGTTTCTTCCCTGGTTTCAAGTGAGTGTTGATGTCCTCCAGGAATCTTAGAGCTGCTAGCCTTGACTACTGCACCGTGCGCTGTGTGGGGAGGCTGCCCTTGAAAAGCATCCTTCAACTCATTCCGAATGCAGTGGTTTTGTGCAAGTCTTGGATGTCCACACAGGTGACCATTCGCTTCCCAGTTCCATTCAAGGTGGTGATGATCGCCTTCAAAATCCTTCGAAGATTATTTGAAGGATTGTATTTCCCAGTTACATCTCAGTTTTGCCCCAACTCACCGAAGTAGGGAGGCTGAAGGTGTTATGGGTGTCCTCCCTTAAAGAGGTCCATCTGGAGAGACCCAGAAGAGAAGGGCCTTCTCCATGGTGGCTCCCTCCCTATTATTTGAAGGGCTATCTTTCCCTAGTTATATCCACCCAACCCATCAGAGCAGGGAGCAGGAGATGCCATAGGTTCTCTTGAGGAGGTCCATCTGGTGGGACCAAGAAGGGTTTTCTCTGTGGTGGCTCCCATATTTTCCCAGTTACATCTACCCAGCCCACCAAAGGGGAGACCTCTTTTAAGGAGGTCTATCTGGTGGGACCCAGAAGAAGCGCCTTCTCTGTGGGGGCTCCCTTGTTGTTTCAAGGGCCATCTTTCCCCAGTTACATCTACCTGACCCATCAGAGAGGAGAGCAGGAGATGTTACGGGTCTCCTCTCTTAAGGAGGTCCATCTAGTGGAACAAGGGTCTTCTCCATGGTGGCTTTCTCCCTGTGGAACATCATCCCTGTGGAGATAAGATTGGTCTCCACCTTGAGACCTTTCCTAAAGGCTATGAAGACCTAGTTTGGCCAATAGGCCTGAGGACTCCAGGATAGTATGGAGTCCATCAGGTGACTGTTGATTGTTTTCACCAGGAGTGTGTGCATTTGTTGGTTTTTGTCTTGGTGTTTTATCGCTATAAGCTGACCAGAGTCACCATGAGTGAGTTGTGTGGTCATATAAACCTCCCCTCTCAGTCTGGCTTGGGCAGGGGAGAAGATAGATAGGTTGCAGGGCCACCAACATCTATCCTGATCTTCACCCCACAACCTTGAGTTCCACTAAATGAGAAGCAGGACCGGCCAAACTGGATAAGTGGGGCTATACTCTACCAGTTGGATAGTTGAATGAAATTTTGGGATCCTGAGCATCATAATTAAACAGGGGCTACATGACACAGGAAATGCAACACTTCTATGTGGTTAGCATTAACCTAGTTAGTCTGTTTGTGGCTTAGCAGCCCAAGCAAATCCAGCCATTCTGATTGGTTCGATGGATTCCTATCATCGTAGAGTTGGAAGTCATCCTAAAGGCCATCTATAACCAGAATGATCCAGAAGTCTGGTTAGAGGCATTGCATCATAAGATGGTTTGATGTTAGCTTAGGTTGGGGAGATGATAGTGCTGTATAGTTTTATGTGTGATTGTGGCTTCTATGACTTGGTGTGATGTGTGATGCATCATGTAATTGTGGACATTAACTCCTGAATCTGGATGGTAAAGAGATGTTTCCTTGTGGGCCTCAGGAAAGTGCAAATGAAACAAACTTTTTTGGGGGGGGTTACTTCTTCCTCACAAATATGTGCATACGAAGTGTGATTCTATACGGGTAGTCCTCAACTTACATCCATTCATTTAGTGACCGTTCAAGCGACGGCACTGAAAAAAGGGACTTATGACTATTTTTCACACTTAATCTCCATGGTTATGTGATCAAAATTCAGACTCTTGGCAAGTGACTCACATTTATGACGATTGCAGTGTCCAGTGTCCTTCTGAGAAGCAAAATCAATGGGGAAGCCAGATTCACTTAACAACCTGCGGCAAGAAAGGTTGTAAAATGGAGCAAAATTCACGTAACAAATGTCTCACTTAGCGACAAAAGTTTTGGGCTCAAGTGTGGTCATACCTCAAGGACTACATGTATTTATTGATAGGATTTCTAAAGAAATCTCGGCCCAGTGACTCTGGCTGGTTGACAACGCCTAAAAACAGAAGAAATAATAATATTAAATTTTTTTAAAAAGCCCTAGTAATTGAAATAACTAATTTAATTACGCACATACACACAAGGGCAATGTTTGTGAGGCTTCCAGCTGACTAAATCGATCTGAACCACAAACACTTTGGCCTGAGGGAAATGCCACGTCTTCGAGGCCTTACGGATGACTAACTTTTGAAATAAAGTGTAATCGCTTTTAATCAGTTTGGAGGATTTTTTAATTTACGAGGAGGAGAAGGAAGCAACCTGGGGGGGGGGGAGAAAAGGAGCACAGCTTAAAAACATAATAGCTAGCTCTGGTCCCATTCTCAACAGTAATTGCCTCTTGATCATATTGTGTGTATGTGTCTGTGTAAATGTGTATATGTGTATGTGTGTGTGTACACACACACACACACACACACACACATATGCCCCTCAAGTGTCACCCTAGAACAGGGCTAGGCCACCTTGGCTCTTTTATGACTCGTGGACTTCAACTCCCAGAATTCCTGAGCCAGCCATGCTGAGGGGAAAGGGAGTTTCTAAGCTGAGCCAGGCTGGCTCAGGAATTCTGGGAGTTGAAGTCCACGAGTCATAAAAGAGCCAAGGTTGCCTATTCCTGATATAGGGTGCCATTCTGGCAGAGGAATTCTGGGAGTTGAAGTCCCCTCATCTTCCTAGTAACTCAGGGGTAGGCCACCTTGGCTCTTTTATGACTCATGGACTTCAACTCCCAGAATTCCTGAGCCGGCATGGCTCAGCATGGAAACCTCTCCATTTCTCCTCAGCATGGCTGGCTCAGGAATTCTGGGAGTTGAAGTCCACCAGTCATAAAAGAGCCAAGGTGGTCTACCCCTGGTCTATGGAGATTGAGAGTTCTAGTCCTGCCTTGGCCACAAAAACCAGCTGGGTGACTTTGGGCCAGTCACCAGGAGAGGGTGAGTTCTAATCCTGCCTTAGCGATAAGGCCAGATGAGTGATTTTGGGCCAATCACAGGGGGGGTTGTGCAAAAAAAGATGAGGAGGAGGAGGAGGAGGAGGGAATACTATGCATGCCTGTCACCTTGATTTACTGATAAAGCCATAAAGGTGTAGCTCTGGGTTGAACTGTGGAGTCTTTGGTGCCATCTTTGCTCTCTGTTTATATTATATTATAATTAGTTATTATATTAATTCCAACAGGGGAAGAATTGAGTTCAGTAATATATAAACAGAGTTCAACAGTTCAATAATATATAAACAGCCTCACTCCTTTCTAGCACAGATGATGTTACCTAGTTGGGTGATGAAATGTCTGCAAGAAACCCCCCAAACTCAGAGAGCACCAGGGGCCCCACAGTC